AATTGCAAAGAGAACAGGTTGCCGTGGAAACAGCAAAGAGTAAAAGTGCAGCCTCTGGAGTGACCCTGCACTGTTACGTTTAATTGTGTAAGGCATGCACTTGTTTCTCTGAAAGACAAAGAAAGAAATGGAGAGAAAGTAGTCAAAAAAGTACATTTACTCGTATTGATGTGGAACTTGCTAACCCATGTTTCAAATTTAGATCAAGTTAATATATGCCTACATTCATATGTTATTGTTGCCCATGTATAACTCTCCGTAGGTCCTTAAAATATTTCTTCATATTTTTTCAGCAATTAAATATGATCAACAGGCAGGATTGTCTGAAACATTATTAAAAAAAAGACTCAGATCTTAATAGGTAGACCAAGACTACTTTGTGTAATTTGGTTATGGTAAATCCAAGCAGACTATGATCATGTGTAGGGGTGTTAATCACACCCATGATGGCAATTCAGTATCAATTTCCTGACCCAACTATTAGATTATTTTCGATACTCAAGAATACACCATGATACGATTCAATTAACTGTTTTTTTTTTGTTTTTTTTTACCTTACAGGCTAGACGATGTTTCAAATTTGAAATAAATCAGTGAAAGCTGTAATATTGTTATGCATTCTATTTGAGAAACAAGAGCAAATAACATAAGTAGCAAAGCTGCACCCCACCTAGGCCTATGAAAACCTCATTTACTGAAAAATAATAATGCCTCTGTGTTTACATGAGTGTGTGTGCAAGCGGAAAGAGGGTAGTGGCTAAAGGCAGCAAGGTAGGAGGGCAAAATAGGTTTAGCGCCACCGCAGCACGGGAGTCATATTTACGTCCAGGAACAAATGGATAAAAATAGACCGGAGAAAAAAATAAACATGAATCGATACTCTTGCGTGTCGATGCATTGGATCGTCGGCTGTCGGATTGATGCATCAATACAAAACGATTATCATTTACACTCCTAATCATGTGTGCTGTCCCACAAGCCTCCTTTCAGGGGTTTTCACTTTTATTTACAGTTTATATGTTTTCCATTGAATGCTACTATTAAAATGCTATTAAAGTATAATTTTAACATTCCAATATAGCACCTTAAAATATAGATTTGAATGGCCAAGGGTTAAAAAGAAATACAATTAAACTCCCTGCTAAGGTAAGCATTTAACTTTAGTTTTCTTAGTTTACTGAAAAGGTGACAAAAGCAGTTAGGGACATGTCTTAAAAAGCATGTTAAGGTATCAAAAAACGATGACAATCATAATATTAAGTATTAAACAATAGCTATCTGCTCTCCAATGTAATTAAAATAAGATTAGAGAAAATCCCTGTGATAAATAATTGTTGTTTTTTTTGTTTTGTTTTTTATTATTTAATCTGAAAGCTATCTTAGGAAATATTTGGCCTTAAATCATGTAGCATACTTGTTAAATTCTCTTCCAATGACGCAAAACCGCAGCTTATTTCTATTTGTGATGAGGATCATAGCGTTCCATAGCTACTTTTCTTTATGTAGAGCATTTTTTTAAAGCAGGTATTTCTTTTATTCAATTAAATGTATGTACATAGAGCCAATTATTAACACATCATTCCAAAGAGACAATTATGATGATGGTTAAACGTTTTCTTTACAAAAATGCTGATTGAATTGAGTCATTGACTTTGCTGGATTTCCTCCTCCAGGTTGCACCTGTAGCGACAGAGGACTGTTGTTTGCATTGTGTTATTGACTTTACAGCAGTCCCTCATACCAAGAACGCATGGATTTTAACAGCCAGTTGTTTGATAAACTATAAGAGGAAATGGAGAACCACTTTAAATGTCAGCACCTCTGGGTAAAAACCTGAATTGAACATCAATAATTTGATTAGACAAAGGGATACTGATCTCTAGAGTGAAACTGGATTATTGTAGCAATAAAGGCAACAAGGCTTAATAAGTACAAAGAGAAACTCAAAATAAAGATGATATAGATAAAAAAAAAAACAGTTAACATAAATAAAGTCATATATTTAGAGAATATAACCTAACTATGAAGAAAACATTTTGACCTTCTTGAATGTAAAGCTGAAAGTACCATTTTTAAGATTTGTGAGGAATTAAAAAAGTTACTAGAAACAAATATTGTGTCCCTGATTAAATTCCTGCAGAATATCCTAAATATGCCAGTTAAAGGATCTCTTTCCTGCTGTTTTTTCTGAAATTCTGAAACATGATACGCTGTCTTTCTTACTGAGCCTGAAAGAAGTGGTAGAAAAAATTAAAAAAAAATAATAATAAAGTTCAATTATCATTATTATTATTTAGAAAAGTAGAGTAAACACACCTTAGCTAACTGTCTGAACTTCTTAAACAGGTACCCTTGAAAAAAAAAAACAACTTAACAACATATCATAGGTGTAAATTCACAGGTTGGATTTAAGAGTAGAGATACTGTAGCAAAATCCTGTTGATTTGATTTATTTTAACATTTTCAATGAAGCTGCGTTTTAGAACAGACATTAACTTGAATGAATCTAAAGCTTTCAGTGTTTTCAGTTTAGTTTAGGCAACTTTTAAATGGAAGTGTCCTCTTATATCTTGTGAGATAAAATTATTACCATGTACACCAAATGTTATGAAGGTTATATGTTAGGCTAAGTAGATCTGTTCCCTGTTTGTTACCGGTGTTTTGTCAGATGAGCATACCCGGTCAGACCAGCATACCCATAGTCAATACACATGCGCAAGAAATAAAATTATGAATGTATGAAAAATAGACTTTAAACTACCTCAACATGCGTGTATCCCTATAGTCATCTACAAAAAAAAGCTATTTCAGGTGAGATTGCCATATGCTTCAAAAAATACCAAAAAGTGAGTAATTAAATTGTTTTTTTGTACATAACTTAAGGGATACAGGCCCACTGAGGTAGTTTAAGGTGTATTTTTCTTACAAAACTAAAGGGATACACTAAAGGGATAAACGGGTATTGACTATGGGTATGCTGGTCTGACCGGGTATGCTCATCTGACAGAACAGCAGGGATGTTTATTTGGGATGTATGTTATTCCCTAATTATATCCCTAATATAATAGAAACATTATATGATTGTAGTAAATCCAGATATACTGATGCAGGGCAGCCTCAGGGTGAAGCAGCTGCCCTTCAGTGCTGTATTAAGAAATGTGTTTGGAATGTTACCATAAAATTAGGGCTGCAACTAATGACTATTTTGCAAATTGATCAATTTGTTTATTTTTTCGATGAATCGATTAATAATCAGATAGCCAAAGGTTACTTAAAGAAGATTTTTTACGAAGTTAAACCAGGTGAAACAAACGTTTCCTCTTGAGTTCTGGGTGGAAAATATTGACAGACAAAAACTTTTTTTTGTATTTCAAATGCAAAATTTTTACATATTTTTACAATCTTGGTATAATTCCTGCTCGAAGTGGGTCGCTCTGCCGGCTTAAGGCACATTTTTGTG